TTAATAACAATTAGCTTTAATGTCACATAATATTTCATACATAAGCAATGAAATGTGATAAACAATAATAAAAGTATTATCCAAACAAAAAAAATTAAAAATTACACATGACAGTACACAAATCAGTGATAATAACAGTTGTCCGATCACTAATTGTATAAGCTCTCCGAAGCCTATTTATACGGTAATAGGAACAGTGGCGGGGGTGTATTATTGGCTTCTTAAAAAAAAAAAACCCCTCCCATAAAAGATTTTAAACAAATGTTGGACCGTTTTCAGACAATCTCATCGAATGCGTGGAATCTGCACGGAAGAGGCACAGGAACAGTTGGCGACGACAGCGCGCCCTGTCGGAACGGTTGGCAAGCATATGGAGTGTACTTGAGCGGCCYGGTTRCGACAGCAGTGGACGCGGCCAAAGCGACCAAGGTGGCCAAGGCGACCGTCAAGCTGTCGACGAACGCGACCATCACGTCCGCAAGGACAAAAAGTAACAGCAAGCGGCAAGCGGTGTTCGACTCGGACACGGACGACACGGCGTCTGGCGGCGCCGGCCAATCCAAATCATTTCAGTGGTTAAGCAAGTCATTCGCATTCATAAAACGCATGTTCACGTTCGTCATCATACCGTTCTTCAAGTTCGTGCGGAACACGTTCTTCCAGACCCGTTCGTTGGACGATACGGTGGTGGACGTGAGCGAAACGCACCTGAGCGAAGTCAAGTTTGAGCCACCGTCGTCCGTGGCCACAGCCACGGTGGCTGCCAGTGAGTCGACCTCAAGCGACGACAGTGAAAACAATGTCAACCGCCGATCATCGCCGTCGTCCAAGCGGGAAACGGACGATGACAGCCGTTGTGGTGACACGCGACTCAACGACGACCGTGTGACGGCGGCCGACCTAGTGGCCGCAGGGTCGGCGCCGACGGTGGCCGTTGACGACGCGCTCTCGCCAAACGCCAAGAGGTACTTGCGGATGGTCAGCGACGGCCTGAACGACGTGGGCGTAAACGCGGCGTTCGTCAAGCGGGCGTTCGCGTGTTGCCGACGCGGCCCATTCGATCCGCGGGCCGACGTCGCGGTGATCGACTGGGATAGGACCGAGGCCCACGCGCACGACGTTATCGTGTCGCCACACGTCTGCGGACGGTATTGACCTGATGCAGCTCTCGCCTCTTCCTTTTTCYACCCCGACCCCACCCTTATACTTTTCGCCCTGTTTTCATCGTCCCGGCGACGACGCGCCACGTCTGGTTATAATTATATTGTTTTTTTTTTATTATTATTATTGTCCCGTATATAGACTCTTTGATCGTATGTATACGTATATGGCGTCCGAAAATCTGATCGTTT